GCGAACGAAGTGGCCTTCTGGAGGAAGGCGCGCGTGTCCTCACGTATGGCCTCTGCGATGCACCACTCTGCGTTTCGGACCTTGCCCCTGCATCCGAAATTGATGACGCCGTCACGCAGTGAATGGCGTTGTTGCCTGGACTTGATCACAGAAAGGAACTCCTCCTTGCTAGGGGCACCAATCCTCTCAGCGACGGGTGCTCCGAAGAAACGGCCGTAGGCATCAGCGTGAACGACGGATTCAGCATGCCGTTTCAAGTGGCTGATCTGCAGCGTCGTAGGCGAGTCGATCTCGTACCGGCCCCAAGCAGTATCCGTGTGAAAAGCAGCGCAAAGGCGGCATCCCGCCTTGCCGTTGACCACCGTCAGCCAGAGACCGCTCTCCAAATCGGACGGGTCGATACACATGAAGTCCCGCTTGCGCCACCGGTGGGACAATTCCTTGAAAGTCGCCTCCACGCTGCGCTGTCTGGTTCTGCCCGTTTTCGTGTCCGTCGATTTCTCAGGCGTGGGTTCTGGGGCCGTCCACTTCGTCACAGTCTTCAGGGCTGCCGCTGGCGGCGGCTTATGCGGCGTCACGGGTGCATCGTCGAAGAAGCCACATTCGTGGTCCATGAAATAAGATGCAATCGTCGTGGCCAGTACAAAAGGCAAGGACTGCGAGCCAAAACGGCTACGGAGGAGGAGAGGGAGGATGAGGGGCCCCCGATTGGGTCCGTAGACATCCACGGGATCCTTTGCGCGACGCCCCACAAAGTTATCTAGTGGCCTTCGGCCCCTCGGATGCCTTTCGGTGGCTTCTTGGAGGCAGTTTTGAGGCATTTTGGGGGCTGCTTGGAGGTCTCTCAGGGCTTTCTGTTGGGCCTCTTGGGGGCCTCGTGGGGCATCGCGGGGGCCTCTTAGGGGTCTCTTGGAGGCCTCGTGGGGTCTCCTGGGGCCTTCTTGGAGCGGAGGTCTCGAATTGTCGGTTCGTGTTCCCCCTATTGGGCCCCTCTTGGGGCCATATTGGGGCCCTCGCAGGCCATCTTGGGCGCCTCCTGGGCTGTTTGGGAGCCCGTTTGGGCAGTTTTGGGGTCATCTTGAGGGCCTCTTGGGCCGTATTGGGGCGGTCTTTGGGGCCTCGTGGTCCGTCTTGGAACGTCAGAAGGTCAAAAAAACGAGAGCACCAAAAACATTGAAAACGCACAACGAGAACCTATGTATGATGTTGGCCTCTTGGAGCCCTCTTGGAAGGCCTCTTGGAGCGCTCTTGGGGCCTCTTGAAGGCCTCTTGAGCAGTCTTGTGCCATCTGGGGCGTCTTGGAGCGCTCTTGGGCCGTCTTGGAGGCCTCTTTGGCCCTCTTGGGCGATTCTTGGGGCCCTCTTGGCCCGTCTTGGCCCCGTGGCCTCTGGAAAATCCATGCGACCGACGAGCCCGGGAGCGCCCAGGAGCGCGCAAGAGCGCGCAGGATCGCCCAGGAAATTGGCACAGGACTCAGGACAGAGAACCCTTGAGAGCCTGAGGACACCCCCCTCGCGCCTTGCGCCACGGTGGCGGATTATTGATCCACGTGGGCCCACATGAGTCTGAGAGTGACTAACGTGCGCTAGAGTTTTTCAAGAGGGCCCAGGATGGCTCCAATACGCCCCATATAAGCTAAGACGGCTTCAGAGATTGCTCAAGACAGCCCATGATGGCTCATGTCCTCCAACATGCATCCAAGAGGTTACATGCCAGTTCCAAGACGGCCTCAAAAGGCAGCGGAACATTACATGACGATTCCAGATGGGCCAACATCACTCGAAACTTTGAGGTGGGCTGTTGCTGCAATTCGAACCGTCAACAATCACACAACGCGAAGCACCGTCAACAATCACACACCGCGAAGCGTCATGAATATTAAGACGCGAAGCGTCATGAATAGTCAATATTATGAAGCGGCCGAGCCTCAAGAACATGCAGGTGCGCGTGACCGCGACGCGAAGCGTCAGGTATCTCCAGAATGTTAAGAAGATCAATATACGAAGCGTGAATGATACCAAGAACATCGAGACACGAAAACGCTCCAGCACTCAATCTCCTGGCGAATCACCTAGGCACCGCTTCCGGATGGGCTGGCAGTTTTGAGGATGTACCAGTGTTGACATCACATATATACAACAATTTGTGGATACAGAGGGGCATCTGACATCAAAAATGCACGGGAGCATGGGAACCGGTGCGGGTTGAGATACACGGGGAGCCAAGTGAAATACCAGAGGGCCCATTGAAAAGCTTATGGAGCCTATTGAAATACGAAAGGAATCCGTCTTTATGGAGCCTTTATGGAGCCTATGTTTATGGAGCCTTTTTATGGAGCCTTTTATGAAGCCTGTTTTATTGATCCAATGAAATACCAAAGAGACCGACTCCAACACTCATAACCTTGCAATGGCTAAACTGCGTGTCTTGTGGACCAGTTCCGAGGCTGGGGGTGCAACAATGACAAGCGTAATTGCATGATAACAAAAAGAGACACATCATGTTAAGGTCCACGGATGAGGAACGTTGCAATACAAAATCTGAGCGCCGTTGCGCATGGAATGTCTTAGAGATACAATGCACGCGGGCGCGATCGTGGCGCCGCGGCGCCAACGCCACAACTAGCAGAATGAATCTCCTAACCTAACTGCGATTGCGATTCCTCGAGGCCTAAGTTCTGCAAGCCTGAGAAGTAGTCGTCGTATCCACATGGGGGCAGCGAGTCGAGCTGCGTTTCCTCAAGCTGCTGCGGCTCCTGTGACAACGCATCGGGCGGCTGTGGGCTGCTGGGGGCCACGACCGCCTGCGTCTCAGCCAAGATGGCCGACTCGGCGCAGGGGTCTGGGAGCGCCGCTGGCAACGTCGGCGCCGTAGCCAACGCATCACCGGCGGGAGCGTCGCTCTTCGTCTCGGGGCCGTCGTCGATGTCAATGACCATCTGCTTTGCTGGCGGCTGCGCCGGCGCCGGCGCCTCGAGCAGCAAGCGGCGCGGCCAAGTACCCGCACTGCTGCTGCTGCTCTGCTGCCCTCCATCGCCCTTGTCGTAGCCGAAGGTCTGGCCCATCTCATTTGTCAGCGTCTGGCCCATCTCCTTCGTCGGCTTCTTGCACAGCCACCCGCTGCTGGGAGCAGGCATCGAAGATTTGACTGCGGCGAGAGCCTTCTTGTCTTTGGGGGGCTCCGTCGGCGCCGCCATGGCGCACTGCTGCCTGCTGTCAATGATGCCCGTCTTGTCGATTGCGCCACAGTGGCGCTTCCTGGATTCATCATCGCCTGCACCTGCGACCTCGGGAACATCACGGAGGCCAGGCGAACTGCGAAAAGGGTATTTGACCTCAGGAACTTCGATCTGAACAAGCGTAGGTGCCCGCCCTCGTTTGAAATGGAACTTACAAGGTATCATCGTCGTGATCATTTTGCCATCAAGGTCAGCTGGTATAGATTCGTCCGACAACCTAACGTTGAGCTGCATATCTATATCTCCAACAGTGGACGCCATCTTATCGTAGCTCGATTGTAGGCTCATCGTGCAAAGGGGCAGGGCGTGCCCTGTGCAGGCCTTCGCCTGGCAACACCTACTTCGTGCCGACAACGGCTTGGGCCAAGACGCCCTAAGACGCCTAAGGCCCCAAGACGCCTAAGACCCCAAGACGCCTAAGGCCCCAAGACACCCCAACACGCCTAAGGCCCCCAAACACCCCAAGACGCCTAAGGCCCCAAGACGCCTCAAGACGCCTAAGGCCCAAGACACCCCAAGACACCCCGAGACGCCTAAGGCCCCAAGACGCCCCAGACGCCTAAGGCCCCAAGACGCCCCAAGACGCCTAAGGCCCCAAGACACCCCAAGACGCCTAAGGCCTCTTGACACCCCCAGACGCCTAAGGCCCCAAGACACCCCGAGACGCCTAAGGCCCCAAGACGCCCCAAGACGCCTAAGGCCCCAAGACGCCCCAAGACGCCTAAGGCCCCAAGACACCCCAAGACGCCTAAGGCCTCTAGACACCCCCAGACGCCTAAGGCCCCAAGACACCCCGAGACGCCTAAGGCCCCAAGACGCCCCAAGACGCCTAAGGCCTCGAGACGCTCTAAGACGCCTAAGGCCCCAAGACACCCCCAGACGCCTAAGGCACCAAGACACCCCGAGAGTTTTCGTCCGGCAGGGAAGAATGACCGCCCGAGGCGCCTCGGCCAACCCGATCGCCGAGGCACCTCGACCAGGCGTGTGAGAAACTACTTGATGCTCCAATCGCACGGCGCCGCGACATGGCGCGCCACCACGCCATATTGTGCACATGCATGCGCGTATCATACAAAACACGTGCGTCGTCGATGCATCTATACGCATAAAGATGTGTGTGCATACACATAAGATGTGCGTGTACGTACTTATGCAGGTCTGTGCGTGTGAATGCAGGTGTCTTTGTGTATATGCGTGCGTGTATGCATATGATTGTGCACGCGCATGAACCCCATACGCCAATACGTACGTTCATGCATCCACGCTTAACACAAAGTGGTTTAAACGTACACACAAAAGTACATACATATATAAGCCGTGCGCATACACTCGCACATCACGCATGTGTGTGTTACACAGTGTAGTAACATCCGCCATATTGATGTGTGTATCGTGCACAAACCATTCGTCACATGTCTGCGTTTATTATGCGTGCCATCATGCGTCACGTTTTATTAATCACACCTAAAACGCTAGATTACGCGAGCGCGTGTTCATAATATGTTTACACATCACATAACGAGCACGCGTACGTATGACATGCGTCCTACATTACACGTTTATGTCTATACGTATGCCATGCTAGAGTTTGAGCACAGACGTGTTATATGTTACGACAGGTATATCATACGTACACCCATACGTTTTCTGTGCTGTGGTCAGTGATGTTTGTGCCCCATACACATATTAACTAGCCAAACCTCGCCCCACCCCCTTTCCGAAGCCCCACAACGAAAACCCAAAAACCCCCACTAAAAGCCAGAAAGCCGGCGCGCCCGCCCCCCAGGAGGCGCGCTGCAAGCGGAGAGCGCCTCGCCGGGACCACGCGCCGCCTGGCGGCTCGGGCGGACAGCGGGCCGGCGCTGGCGAGGGCTCCCCGCGCTTGGGGGGGCCCAGGCCCAGAGCAATGCTCGCTTTATGGGAAAATCTGGGCGGGTGGCTCTTCGCTGCTTTCTGCCTCTGGGGGCCCCTACCAGGCCTCGGGACCGTCGAAGAACGGCTGAGACAGGATGAGAAACCGGTCCCAGGATCTGGGTCGGGGCTTCTGGGGACCACGTGCTGAAACACTCAGGACATCGCAGGTCTGGGACACGTGCCCCCAGGAAGACGTATACCCCAGTGAGGTGTCGCAGCGGCCACGGTTCCAGCCTCGGTGTGCGCGAAGACCAGCACTGTGTGCGCCCCGAGGTGGGCCCCGAGGCTTCCCCTCTCCGGGGCACCTGCTCTGGGGGTGCCTCTAACCTTCGCGGCCCGTGCCCAGGGATCGGGGCCCCCTGCGTTGGCTCGCGGCGGGCGCAGCGGGAGCGGGGGCGACGAGGAGCGGCTCGCTGCGAAGGCAGGGGCGGGCTTCCTGAGGGGGTTCGGGGGCTTCCAGTAAGGCCTCTTGGAAGGCGCGGGGGCCTCGGAGAAGGCCCCCGCCGTCCCAGAAGGCCACCCGCCCGCCCACGGAGCCCCAGCCCCCCGGGCGCCGCCCATAGTTGGGGAGCTCACTTCACCGATGCGAGCAGCAGCAGGGCGTTGTTGATGCCCAGCTCGGGCATCCAGATGGTCAGGACCGGCATGAGGACGTTCTGGAGAGGGCCGATCCACTGCACGATCAGAGCGGTCCGTGGGTGGAACACCGCCTTGCGCATGCAGTTGCGCCAGAAGGCCGGGCAGATCAGCAGCTGGAAGGTCCTGCGCAGGAACTGCACCCACACAGGCATGGGGCCGGCCGCCGGCTTCGGCAGGCTCTCCGCCTCCACGCCGAGCCACAGGAACGCGCACGGGTGCATGACGTCCAGCCCGATGAACGTCACGATGAAGACTCCAACGGCGTCGGCATGGATCAACAAGTCGGTGAACCAGAAGAGGATGTGCGTCACCAGCATCGCCATGACCAACAAGAGCGTCCACCACTGCGTCATTGCCTTTGATACGGCCCCACGGTCACCACCAACCCAGTAGCTGATGTCCACTCCAAGCATCCTGTTCTTCAAGAAGTCGGATATACCCATGACGATCGAGTAGGCAGTCAACGGCGCGGTGATGTAGAACATCTGCGTTGTGCGCCAGATGTTCGTCAAACTGAGGAAGAACACCTCATTGGCCGCCATGCTCTGGTCCATTCTGTAGCGCCCAGTAGCAGAGATCACCATCGACCACGACAGCACCTGCATCATCCACGAGAAGAGCACCATGCCATCTGCCTCGAAGTGATAGTACCTTTTGAAGTAGACGGCGTAGTAATTGAAACCCACCCAGAAAAATGCGGTCCAGAACCACAAGAAGTAAGTCAAATTATCCATCGTGATCAACAACCTCGCCCACTGTGCCAAAGATGTCGGGAATCGTGTGCGGCGGAGCTTGCGCTTTCTTCCGCAACAGGCGCAGTGGTGGAGGTAGTGGGATGCCGTGGTTATAACGGTTAGTACGACAAAGAAGAGGGTCATGGCAATGAGCCAGCCCAAGACGTTCAGGAACATGTCCACGAAAATGTACTTGTACACCTCGATCACAGCTCCGTAGGCGACGCACCAGTCCGAGAGCTCCGTGGCGAGATCGACCATGGCGATGTAGAGCAAGTCGCCACCGAAGACAAGCGAGCTCAGCTCCCCGATCAGGCCAGAATAGCCGTATCCATAGACCAGGTTGACCAACGAACCGATAAAGGAGAGGAAAAGGATGAACGTCATCCAGATCATATGAATCCCCTCCTCGCAGCCAAGGAAAGTCTGTAGAGAAAGGACGACACCGCCCTCTGCCCAACGCTGCACAGCGGCCAAATAATCCACGGGATCCTTAGCCATTCCGTACGCGAGGCGCCTGTTGATGTACTGAGAGTGCTTGCCCTTAACCACACGGTCCAGACTACTTGCAGTGTCTTCCACCTTGCAACTCTCGTGGAAGAACGTGTACTCGATGCACTGGGTGAAGCCCTGCCGCTTCATCTCTATCGACTCCATGTCCCAGATACTGTCCGTGCCATGAACGCCCGCGCGCCTGTCACGGATCAGCCAAGTGCCGCCCGTGCCGCAGGAGCTGACGCCACCGGCGCAATTCCTGAGCATGCAGTTGAGGCGGAAGAAGTTCGAATTGTTTGTGTCCAGGAAGTCGACGTCGTCGGGCATCTCAGGGTAGTACTGCGGGCACTGCGTGAACGCAACAGATGTGTCAACCTCCTGCTCCTGGTCATTCCCCTTGAGTTTCTTGAAGAAGAACGGAACCGTCTCATGCATGAAGTCGGGCTGGAACTGGTGGCGGGCATCCGCAATGGCAAATAGAGAGTACTTGTATCGATTGGGCTCCAGGGAGTCTGTCGCGGAGGGCGCCAAGTTCATGGTGTAATCAAACAAGTCCGCCACCGTGCCGAAGGCACTGAGTGGAGTGTCCTCAGGCACCCGACGGTCCCCAACATTGAGCCGTGCAAGTGCTCCTTGAGGGACTCAGGTCCCCAACTTACAGAATCCTGGTCGCTTCTGGACGCACCCGAGCTCCGTCGCATGTCTTGTCCAAGAGGCTGCGGGGGCATATCCGAGAGCCCACACTGCCCACATGTGCTGATCAACCGACCCTGTCGGCGCGTGTCTTTCACCTGTCTCCGCATGAAAGTCCGATGCTAAATTACAAGTTCCCCAACTGATAGGGAAAAAGACTCCACATTGCTACAACAGGCCAAAAATGAGAAGGAGGGGGAGGAGAGAGGGAGAAAGAGAGAGCGGGGGGAGGAGCGACGCTCTGGCAGGCCGGACAGGGCGGGCAAAAACCGAGGCTCGCAACGGCCGCTCCTCAGCCACTCGTCTGGGCGCAGCGTGTTCAATGGAGCGAGGCTGGGGGCCAACGATTGACCGAACAAAAACACTCAAAGGACGAAGGCACGCGCCATCAAATGAACGCGACATCCCAACGCCGCGAGACCGACAGTGCACGACCATGGCGGCGGTTATCGACAATGACAAGCGAGTAGAAGGGACACGAACCACGAAGGCGCCAGCGCCACACCGGTGACGCGGGCGCGGAGAATCGGCCAGCACGTTGTCCGACGCGAAGGCAAGGCATACGACACAAATTACTCGACACGGAGATCCCCACGTTTGCGCATCCCATTTCACTGAACACCCTGCCGGCGTGTGTGAGATGCTTTCCCGTTTCAGTCGTCGTCCTCCGGGGAGGCCTCTCTTCGGGAAGTCGAGGAACGTCGTATCGACTCAAAGCGAGGCCCCTTCCCTTTCATCCCTCCCCCGCTAGAGGGTGGGGTCCCGGAGCGAAAAAGACAAATTACAACCACCTCGACTGGATTCAAAGCGTTCCCACTCAAGTCCAACAATTTGGATACCAATCCCAACCGCCTCGAGCGGTCTTGGAAGGATTCTTCAAGGATCCGCGAGAGATCCTTAGGGGACCCCTAAGAGATCTTTACGAGGGCCCTGACAAATCCTGAAACTCCTTGCAGGGCCCCTGAAAAACCTCGCAGGGCCCCTGAGAGATCCTCACATGGCCCGTGAGAGATCCCTGCAGCGCCCCCGAGAGATCCGCACGTGTCCCAAGAAAATGTGCAGGGACCTTTGCAGGGCCCCAGAGATCCGCACACGGCCCCCGAAGGTCTTCACCAGGCCCCCGGGATGTCCTTACAGGGCCCCTCGGAAATCCTTCCAGGGCCCCTCCGAGATCCTTACAGGGGCCCTGAACGATCCTGGAAATCCTCACAGGGCACCTGAAAAATCCTCGCAAAGCCCGTGAGAGATCCTCACCGGGCCCTTGAGAGATCCTTGCAGGGCCCCTGAAAGATCCTTACATGACCCTGGAAGGTTCCTTCCAGGGCCCCCACGACAGCTTTACAGGTCCCCTCAGAGGTCCTCACTATGGCTCTGAGAGATCCGAAGAAGGACCCTGGGAGATGATTACAAGGCCCCTGAGAGATCCTTACACGATTCCTGAGAGATCCTTACACGATCCCTGAGAGCTTCCGTAAGGATCCGTGAGAGATCCCTACACGATCCCTGAGAGATCCTAACACGCATCCTGCGAGAACCCGAAGATCCCACAGCGATATAATATCCATTGACCTCACTTCAAGCCTAAACCACTTATTAGGTCACGTGTGTTGTGATTATCTTATGCAACCTGTGTAGTTCTCATACGCATACAGCCGGAAACCGACCATCTTATCAAACGGCTGATGCATTTTTTTCACTACAGCGCATTATGGGGCGACCCTCCCATGGCATAGTGGCACTTCCCACTTGCAAGCTATACGGCACCCATACGAGAACTTACAAAATACAATGTGCATCTTACACTGATCTCACTTTATATTGTGAAAGCCCTCGTGTTCGCATACGACAACTTACAGTTCACCTGTGCAAGCTATGCGCATGAAATATGACAGCTTCTCTTATGACACAAGCGAATTGCGATTCGCACGTGTGTATTACGCACTTCACGTTTGAAGTCGCACCACTGTCTGCTCCTTATCTACATTTCTCTTAGAAGTCCCAATTTCCAGGTAGAAGTTGCACAACATTTACATCAAATTAGACAAGGCGAAACGTCATACCATTGTCGTATGAACCTGTGCACTTCTCATACGATAGCCAGAGCGCTCCAGTATGACTGGCGGTCGCTGCTCAGTTTGGGAAGCAATTAATTGGTAAATAAATTCAACTCTGGCAGCCAGGTTGTCTACCAGAAAATGGATTGCCACAACAATGATCCGATGGTACGGACTATGATTGCTGTATTCATGTGGCACTGGTCGGCTGTTTCGGCCGGTTTCGAATTAGCACGTGCGGTTGGAATTCGCGTTTGGCCCGTCATGCGGTGCCATGAAGGGGGGGCGTCACGCGGGGGAGGGTCCCGTGTCCCCTTGGGTTCCTTGAGGGGGCCGGGGGTTGTGACCCAATCCCGGGGGGAACACCCCTCTTTGGGAAATCGAAGATCGTCGACATCGAATCGAAGGGAAACCCTTTACAGTTGATTCCTCCGCCGCCAGGCGGGGTCCCGGGTGGGTTTGGGAGGGTACCAAGAGGGGGTGGTCCCAAAAGGGGTTCATCCCTGATGGGTCCCCGGGCGGGTCCGAGGGATTGTGACCCCCCCCTGGGCCCCAGGGCCTGGGGAGCGCCTCCGTGGGAAATCGAACCCTTCCTTTTGATCCCTCCACCGCCGGAGAAGGGGGGAGGGGGATCCCACGGGGTGGTCCCCGGGGTCTCCGGGGAGGTTCCCTGGGGGGGCGGTTTCGGGGGGTGGTCATCCTAGCGAATAGGGTCGGCGGCACCGGCCGTAAAACCCTTCGCAAAAGTGCCCCAACGGGCTGCCTTGGGACTCTTTTGGGCAGCTTTCACAGCCACGGGGGCCAGAGGTCAAATCCCACCAGCCCTTTAGGGCGTAGGTGGTCTATGG